AATTTGGATATATTATTCAGTATGTATCTTTTAAACGCGTTTTTTTTCCAAAAGTTGTAAATGCTAACAATCCGTTTCACGAATTAGAGGGTGGAAGAAAACAAAAATTCGTATTAAAATTTGGTAATAAGTAATTAAATATATGGCTAAAGAGGGGGTGCAGGTGGGGTGAAAAAAATGAAAACAAAGATTATATATACTTCCTACCTTCTTAGCATATCGAAATTTATGAAAATATTTTGTTTGACATTCTCCTTAAACCAATCCTTCGACAGATGAAATGAAAAATAATATCTACTTCTTTATTGTTCTTTTTATTTGTGTTTTTCCGTAAATTAGACAATTACAAAAGATGCTTTACTCATTATTTATTTATTATATATTTTTTTTAATTACGTGATCTAGCATATCCCGCATTGATATAATGGAGCTAATAGGAAAAATATTTTTCATAATATACATGTCATAAATTGGAATGTTGTATTTTAGTTTAAACTTAATTAAATTAGCTTATTAATAATCTTAATTGAGACTCAATTAACATAATGATTTCTCCTTCTTTTTTTTTTTTCTTTTTTTTTTTTTTGTTGTTGTGTTTTCTAAAAGTGTAAATATTTATATTCCTTTTAAAAATAACCTGATATCGCTAAGCAATATTTTTTGCACAAAATTTCTCCCCTTGAGTGAAATATTTTTCCAACTAAAAAAAAAAAAAAAAAAAAAATTAAAAAACATATGTAAGGGTGAAAATGTTGTTCATAAATACTGAATTACTGAGAAGTGTCTTTTTTTTGTGTGTATATATCCCCATGGAGAAAAGTTGTGTAGCATGATAACTCACCATTCCTCGGAGAAAAATAATTTTCTTTCTTTATTTTCTATATAGAAAATTGGGTATTGGCGGCACACTAGAAAATACACTATATATAAAGGAATAGAAGTAATAAAAAGAATTAGTTTTTGTTTTTTTAAAATATATTTATTTTTTATTATCATCATTAGTAGAAAAAGTATTTAGTTGTATATATTTTGAGTACTGCTACGTATAGTTCGTTTATGTAATGATACATCAATATATATATTTTTTTTTTTTATACGAACAGACAAGCACATGTTTTGTCTGCTCAAACTTGATTTAATTCCTTTTTTGTTTTAAGGTAAATTACACCTTTTGCTCATTTTGTTCATTTTGTTTTATTATTACTTATTAGTCCAATGCTATAGATGTTTTGATTCCTAGTTTTTGAATTTACTGAAATAGGGGAAGAAAAAAAAAAAAAAATATATATGCTACGAGTCAGTAATGGTCTTTTCAGATAAAATACGCATTTTTTAAAAATTTTTTTTTAAATTATTTAACTTGTCGTAGGTTGGGTCTTAATTTTATGAATGTCTTCCAATTTAATCATCATATCATTGTGCACAGATTTTATAAGGAAACTATGGGGAAGTAACTGCCTGTTAGTCCATGTTGTGTTTATTACAAGTGTTGAAAAGGTGAAGTGAAACCTTGTTTTAGTATCTCTACATGGATATACAAATATATGTGCACATATAAGTATGTGTACATGAGCTTATGAATTTCTGTTTCATTATTATATTCATTTACATGCAAGCATTCTGAGTTCATTACTTGTGTACTAAATTGTTTGAGTGCAAGTAGTGGATAATTAGAATGATCTGTGAGAAAAGTGGCAAAAAAAAAGAGGAAGAAGCATAGGATAGAACAAGCGGAAAATATGTACATATTATTATTAAATCATAAGGTTAGCAATTCACTCACGGGTACAAGGTGTAATAAAAATATATCTAGAAAGTTTTCTCTTTTTAATTTTATATTTTTGTAATAACCTGATGTATAATGTTCTTTATCTTCTTTTCATCATATTTAGCAGAAAATGTTATAGATGAATATAAATTTATGTCTTAAAAATGTGTATAAATGGGTGTAACCGGAGATATAAAAAGAAAAAAAAAAAAAAAAATTGCAAAAAAATGTTAAACTTAAAGATGAAATGACAATGTGGGAAATAGCTAAAAATAAGAAAAAAACATATTTAGCTTCAACCGCTTGTTCATTTATTAGAAAGCACCTGAGAAGAACTCAAAGACACTAATAAACGAAGAGGCATATTCAGAACAGTGAATTAACTTAATGATATATGGATGATCCAGTGAGGAAATTATAAATTTATAATTTTTTAAATTATATTTTTCTTTTTTAACAATTATTTTGTATTTATAACCATCAACGAGGTTATAACTGTAGAATACTTTTTTTTTGTCATTTTCTTTTAGTGTATGAATTGGAATGTGATCTCTTAATACATTCGTTTCTGACTCCAGACAGAAGGATGTTGAAAGATTATTTCTTTTTTTTAGAAGAAAATTTTTAATTTTCATTTTTTTTTGTGTATGCGCATTTTTATGGGAGCAACTGTGTGTGTATCATTATGGAAGCATTTTTTTTTTTAATCACTCGTTCTACATAATTTTGCACATGTAAACACAGAGGATAAGGAGTTATATATTTATGTGTCTATGTAGGGGTGTGTATTCATACGTATGTTTATATATATGTTTATGCATTTAGAATGTTATATTTATACTCCTATAAGTATATAATACAAAATGGTATAAGAGAAATTTTTATGTCTTTAAAAATTTCATATTCTTTAGTAAAGGAATTATAAATAAATATCTTTTTATGTATGCATATATTTGTGTGTGTTCAAAAAAAAAAAAAAAAAAAAAAAAAAAAAAAAAAAACCAAAATGAATAAAAAAACATGCACTTTATAAAAAATAATACATATTTTTGATTTTACATGAATTGCGCAAAAGCCTCAAGATTGAAATGAACACAAACATTTTCACCCTCTGCAAAAAGATACATACTGAAAAGGTATATTTTGAATGTTCTTAAAAAAAAACGAATTAATATTTGGAGGAAATTTCATGTGGATTGAATTTTTTAAGTATTTTTTTTTTTTTTTTCTTTTGCTACAGGGGTTTAATGCCCTTTTTGTTCAACGATTTCCAAACATTTATTACATTTTTAAAAAGCAACATGAAAAAAATGAAAAAGAAAGACGTATTTTTATATCTACATAAGGTGTTAAAAAAGAAAAAAAAGTTTATTCTGGAAAATTTCGCTACATAATACATGGGTGCAATTATTTGTGCACCTCTTACCACTACTACCACCCCCTCCCTTCCACACAAAATAATAAAATAATTTTTCGACTGATAAGTCCTACAACTACTGAATGGATACCTATTGAGGTACCCAAACAGGGTATATATAATGATGGATTATTGGGAAAATAGAGGAAAAATGATAATATAAATCGTGAGCACAAAAAAGAGTGAAAAATAGTTATATTTATTATATGTTCTGTTCCTATTATTGTCTTATGCTATGAATGGAACTGATTATGCACGAAGTTGGGGATTTTTTTTTTTTTTTTTTTTTTTTTTGTTTAAAAGGAATAAAACCCATAATTTTTTTCAAAACGATTAAGCGTCCTATTTATTTAATTTTTGAAGTTGTTGTAAAGTGACACATGTTTTTAGCAGATTTATATGCATTTTTAACCATATAAAAAAGAAAAAAAATTAAATGTTTACAACATGCTTTAAAAATGTAGAATGTGTTTTTTTTTTTTTTTTTTTTTTTTTTTATTTCGTTTTTCTCCTTTAAAACTAATTATTTATTCTCTGTGTGCTAGTATTGCTTCTTAGAAAAGATCCAATGAGGAATGAAACACAAAGTATCCGGAATGCATAATAATATATTTTTAACATTTCATGTTTCTAGAACACCATAATTTACTATATTTGTATGCACACAATTTTTTGCAATACTCGCACAAGCACGTTAAATTTTTTTTTTAAAATAGTGCTTATAAGTGTTGATGGCATTTTTCACCTTTTGACTTCTGACAAATGGGGGATGCGAAACTCCTTAGAGGGATTTGTGGATACTCACACTTTAAGTGAGTGAATTAAAACAATAGCACGTTAAAACATTGTTTGTATCAACAAAGGAAAAAAACATAAGAAAAAAAGTAAATAAATGTAGAGTATATTTATATTATATATATATATATATATATATATATATATATATATACCACCTGATGCATTAACTTATGGTTCACATGCGAGGTACAATATTATGGGTTTTTAAATTTTGCACAATTGGATGCACGAGAAGTTCTTATTTTATGTACTTTTTTAAAATTCTTGCATGAGGAGCCACTCTTAAATGAGGAAGTGATTTGTGAAGCATTAAAAAAAAAAAAAAAAAAAAAAAAAACGCAAGATAAACACAATGCATCATGTTTAAGCCAGAATATAACGCATGCAAGAACATAGAACACACAAAGTAGGGGAAAAAAAAAAAAAAAAAAAAAAAATACAAATAAAAAAAGTTGTGGGTGAAAAAAAGGAGAACGAGAGAATGCAATAAAATTGTTAGGACTGTTAAAAAAAAGGGAAAATTTATTATAAATTAAAAAAAAAAAAAAAAAAAAAAAAAAACAAGAAAAACACAATGCATCATGTTTAAGCCAGAATATAACGCATGCAAGAACATAGAACACACAAAGTAGGGGAAAAAAAAAAAAAAAAAAAAAAAATACAAATAAAAAAAGTTGTGGGTGAAGAAAAGGAGAACGAGAGAATGCAATAAAATTGTTAGGACTGTTCATCATAAGGGGAAATTTATTATCAATTTAAAAAAAAAAAAAAAAAAAAAAAAAAATTGAATATATATCTTTTACAGGATAAAAGGAAAAGAAGAAGATATTTATCATACCTTTTTTTATTGCAAAAGTTTGTAAGAAATATATAGAGGCGCGAAGAAAAGAGTATTATAAATAAGAGGTTGCTACAGAACTACACTTGCAATATTTGAGATAAGTAAGTACTTAAGTACAAAAATGAAATGAGAGAAAAGAAATGAGTACCAATAAATCAGAAAATGCAAAATCAAGGAAGGATTTAAATAATGGGGATTTGTACGTGAATACTAATCGAAATGTAGTGAAAGGTTCACAAAAGTTTAGATTTGTAATTGAACATATAGACTTTTGCCTTTTTTGTAAAAAGAAAAAAGAAAATAATGAAGACACAAGTGAAGTATGTAAACATAACAATTGTGACAAAGAGGACATTGGAGATGATGTGGCCCAAGAAAAAGAGGAAAATATCAAAATCGATTTTAAACGGTTATGTTCTATAGGTAAAACTTACGACTTTTTGAAAAGGAAAGGGTTCAATCAGAAGGATTTAAAAAAATTAGAAAATGCACAATACTTTGAAAAGGTAATATGGGCTTATTACAACACATATGATAATTTATACCTCCTAAGTAATAACGAAGTTTTTTTTTGTACTGACGAATCAAGAATACGTACACATATGTTATACGTAAAACATTTATTATCTCTTATCGTTTTCATTTGTTATAAATATGAAGAAAAAGGAAAACATGAAATTTGGGATCAGATAATTTACAACAGAATAGACGAATTTGAAAAATTGGTAGAAATAGAAAAAAAAAATTATACCCCTGAGGAGAATTACAAGATAGATGAGAGATTTAACATGTATAAAGAATTTCTTATACATAAATTTCATAGTTTATTTTTTAACACCCTTAAATTAATAAATTATAATTTTGTTTTTAATGAGTTTATGGGAAATACACACAGAAAGGGAAAAAATAGAGAAGCACCATATCAGAAAAAAAATTACAGGAAAAATTTATATAAATTAAATTTTTTAGAAAAATCTTTTATTATACAATTTTTTATAAATATTTATTCTAGTATAGACAAGAAATTTCTTTTTAAATTATGCCTAGATTTGTGTAATCCTTTTATTTGGAATTGTATAAATTATAATTACTTAAACGAATTTCTTTTCAAAAAAAATAAAGAAGCAAAAATGTTATATAATAATCTGTTAAAAGTTATGGATAAAAAATATTTAAATGGTAGAAGTTATAACGTATTTGATGTTTACACATGTAGTTGTGGTTTATCGAACCTTGAAGGAGATTCCAAGAAGACTCAAGGAAACCTCCACGACAATGTTAATGTAGAAGAATATGATAAAAGTATCATTTTGTTTATAAACAAAAATGAATTTTTTTACAATTTAATAAATTACTTTTTAATTGTTTTAGATACTTTTGAGAAAGAGCCTGAAGAAATGGATGAAATAACGAGTAATTATTCCATTTCCTCATTGAGCGATAGGGACAGTAGTGATGAAGAACAAGATGAATATGAAAAGTTTTTGGATATATTTAATGATGAAGAAGATTCTCCCTCCATAGAGCAAAACCCAACGTTAGATAATGAGAATCCACAGGATAGTTCTTTATCACTTGATATGGCAAACATGAAAGTGGATTCCCATTCGATTGACAACATAAACAGTGATGATGCAGATAATGATTTTAGAGATGAAGAAGATGAACTTACAGATAACGCGATGGATGAGGAAGAAGTGGAAGAAGATATAAAAGGGAATTTACACAAACGTGCAAGAAGAGATGTAAATGATGAAAGTGGTATTGTAAAGGTCGAACACGACAGCAGTGGTGACACCTGTATACAGGATGAGATGATGAAATTTCTTGAGTCGGTTGAAGAGTATGGGAGGTACATTTCTAGCGATGATGAAGAAAAGGAAAATTTTGTTAACCCTAGTGAATATAAAAAAGAAGAAATATTACTCATGTTTTCTAAATATGAAAACAAATTAAAAGGGGAAAATAAGAAGTTTAATTACACATGTAGGGTTAGAAAGGGGAAAATGAAGTATGTTGAAGAAAGGAAAAAAAAGTATCGAATATTGTTTGTTGAAAAATGTATAGAATTTTTTATTGATTTGTTAAGTCAACTTTATTCAAGAAGAATATTATACATTTTTATAAAATATTTTAATGTACTTATTTATTGCAAAATTTCTAGTTTAAACAGAAAAAGAAAGTTTAAAGAATTAATCAAACTTTTGAAATATTATGTAGAAATGTATATTGACAATTTTTCTGGAAATCCATTAACATATCTGGAAATAAATAACGAACATTATAGGAACTTTGAGTATTTTCAAACCTTTTGTTATAAACATTTTAAGGATCATAGTGTATTAAAGAATTATTACTTAAAATCTGTTTTTTTAATGAACAAAAAGAAGGAATTATTGGAAAATTTATCCAAATTGGAGGAAAAGGAATTGTTGTTCTTATGTGAAAAGTTGAATTATCTAATGTTGAGCGATACACTTGAGAAAAGTTTCGAAGAGGGAGAGGCCAAGAAAACGCCGGATGGAAAGACCCAAAAATCGTGTACTGGAGAAACGGATCAGAAAGTGGAAAAGTTTGGAGAAGAGGACAGAATGAAATCGAGAGATATAAAATGCAATATGTGCATCAAGGAAGGGATTTTTGAAAATGTGCATTTATTTAGAAAGAAGAAAAAATTGTTCTATATAACGCTACTAATAGAAAATTTAAGATTTAAGAGTAACATTTTTGAAGAGATAGATAAGCAATGTGATTATCCGAATGAGAGGGATCTATTCGAAAATGTTTTAATTGATACAAAGGATGATATGAAGAGGAAGAGGAAAACATTTCTTTATACAAAACCGTTGTTCAAATTGAATTTACAATACCTATGTATTAACGATTATGTTTTTAGAATATACAATTTGTTTAAACTGCAAAGTTACTACGATATAAGGAAGAATGTTATTGAGTACGTGTATGAAACCAATCCCAAGAATAAAAAGGTAAATGAGCACACTGTGTGTAAGTATGTGTTTGAAATAGATGAAAACACTGATTTTAGGAATGACATGAATGGCAGAAGCGAGGGAAGTGGAAACAAGAAAATAAGAAAAAGGAAATACAAAGCAAATTTTTCGGAGGAAAATCAAATTGTTATGCAGGACGAGTCACTAGCGGAGAGTAGTAATAGGAATGCTTATAATGAATATCAACTAAATTCCATAGTACATGATATTAACAAAATTGAAAACACTTATTTTGCAAATGAGAGAAGAATGAGTAATAAGATTGATTCGTTCAGAATTGTAAGTGTAGATAACAATAATAAAAAGGTAATGGGTGAAATAATTATAGATCTAAAATATAAATATTACGAACGAGTTAATAACGAGTGGAATATGATTAGACCAGGTGATATTTTATTTTTAGTTTGTGTAAAGAATTATACAAATCATTATAAGAATAAGTTAAACGTTATTAATGATAATGATCTGAAAAAATTACTTGGAATTAACTATTTAAGAGGTTGTGAAGTATTTAAATATTCCAATTTTGATGAAAATAGTGAAGAGTTAGATGGAGGAAAATGCAGTTTGAAACGAATTACAGTGTATTTAGACTATCAACAATATCAAAAGGATATTATAAATGATCCAGAAATTTATAGTTCTTTCAATTTATTAGTAAGAAGGAAACAAAAGGAGAACAACTTTTTTTACATTCTGAATAATATTAAAACTTTAATTATGAACCCGGATGATGCAGTTATACCTCATTGGATACACGATATATTTTTGGGTTACTGTGATAGTTCACTCAAGTATTATCAGAAATCGTTGCCAAGAAAGGTCAACTCGGGAGAGGGAGGAAATAATCCCCATCTTAGTGAGGTGCGTTCATGTGAGAGAAGCGATTCAGATGAGGGAGATTCAGAAGAAGACTATTCAGAGGAGGAGGATTCAGATGAGGGCCATTCAGAGGAGGAGGAATCAGATGAGGGAAATTCAGAGGAGAACCATTCAGATTACACTGATAAGGAGGAAGTAAACGGGAATGGAGAAATTTCCAATAAAAAAAAGTTCCATAATGTCGAGGGCATAAAAGAGTGCAAGAAAAAAATGGTGTGTAACCGAGAAAAGTTAAATTTTATAAGAAAGAATATCGATGACATTAATTATTTAAACACCTTTTTAAACATTTTGCATGTGATTAAAACGACAAATGTTGCATATCTTTGCGTGGACTCATCATACATGAATGTATTAAATGGTAAAAATAAAGTGGATATAAAAAGTTTGTTGAACGAGTATGTAGAGCCCCTGTTTTTAAGTTACGCTCCGATAAGATATGAACATAAAAAAACGTCACTTGAGAAGAATATGTTACAAAAAAATATTCTAGAAATCTTATATTATCACATTTGTGTTATTAATAATTATAAAGCAGATGACATGGAATTTGTTGAAGATTTTGTAAAAAACATTACTGCAGCACATCGATATGGAAATTTTTATATCTTTCAATTTGAGTTTAAAGCAAAAGAGTATTATTTAATTTTGAACAGCTATTTAGGGAAGGTGAAAAGCGAGGGGGAAATTGTTAGACCGGTTACTAACGAGGGAGTGCAGGAGAGCCCAGAAAAGGGAGAAGAGAGAGAAGCAGAGAAAAATGAAGAAGTTGGAGAAGTAGAGAAAAATGAAGAAGCTGGTGAAGCTGTCCTCATTGATGATCATAATATCATTCAAAAGATATTTGAGGAAAATTTGAAAAACGCCATCAAATATTTAAGTCTGAAAGGGGATATTTATAGAATACAAAACCGAATATATGATGATCAGAGTTATCCATTAGAAGGATTGTTAATTCACACTAAAAAGAGAAATAGCACGAATGCATCATTTGTCCAGAGAGAAAGTGGCAAAGATGAGGAAGATGTAACAATGGCAGGAGAAGGAATCAGTGGAATAACAGTGATGAAAAAAAAACAAATGTACTACACAGAACGGCAAATTGAATGTTTAAAAAGTGGGTTGTATGAAGGAATAACCATAATTGAGGGAGTTCCTGGGAGTGGTAAAACGAGTATATTAAATAAAATCATTAATATACTCTTTAATAATAAAAGGAAAGAAAAAATTCTTATATGCACCCACAGTAATAGTTGCTTAAATTATATTTTTAATTTACTTGTTAAGGAAAATTTGATTCATCAAAAATATTTGTGCAGAGTCGGTATGGGAGAATTAGATATTGAAAATTTAAGAAACGAGTATGAAGAACTAGAAAAAAGTTTAATTAAAAATGGCAACATGGAGGGAAATGAGAACAGTGTAATGAAAAAATCTGGTATCGATTTTTATGATGAAGATGATAATTTTAATTTTTCAAAATATGGAAGAATTAATTACATGATTGATTTAAGACAGAAAATGTTGAATGAAGTAAATTTATTATCTGAATCTAATAGTAATCATAAAATATACCATTGTTTATCAGCTACACAGTATTATGAAAATCACATTAAAAAACGAATTTCCAATTTTTTTAAGTATATTAAAATTTTTAAAAATAATAAAAATGATCAAAATTTTTTTAAATTATGCATAACAGAAGCAATTGATGATTACGACATATATAACTTATTTTTATGTCCAAAAATATATGTGAAGGAATTTGAAAATGTACAGGATTTAGTATGGGCAGGAAAAGAGGAAAAAAGAACACATTATAATAACACTTGTAGGGAGATAGAAAAATTACAAATACTAGATGAAGATAAGTCATGTTTTTACTTAATTCATCCAGAAGATCAATTGAACACATTGCATTTGAGCATATTTAATATCCTTTTTCCGTTTAAGAAGTACTTAAATTTGAAATTGAATAAAATAAGCATAGATCAGTATTTAGAGTATAAGAATTTTTTCATTAAGAGAAACAATGTAGAATATTTAGGTAGTGAAAATGAGGAATTAAACATGGATTTTGTTGAAGCACAGGAGGGAAGCATGTTAATGAAAGATATGGAATTGGAAAAAGTGAATGAAAGAGTGACAGGACAAGAAGAAAAAATGAGTGAGAAAGGAAGCACTATTATGGATAAAAATATAATACAAGAAAGGGGAAAAGATGGTGAAATATTAACAAAACCAAGGGATGAATATGACATGTGCAGAATTTTTGGAGGAAATATAACTGGCTTGATATTCAAAAATAATGAGGAAGATTTACACATATGCAAATATTATTTAGCAAATTTGATAAAAAATTTTGAACATTTAAATGATTGTAGAGCATTTGAAGTATTAAAAAATCAAAGAGAAAGGGGAGTGTATATAATAGCTAAACTGGCAAGGGTTATTGCAATGACTTGTACTCATGCAAGTATAAATAGAAGTAAAATAGCGAAATTGCAATTTTATTTTGATAATATTATAATCGATGAATGTACCCAAATTACTGAAAATGACACATTTTTGCCTCTACTACTTCAAGAAAATCGATACTATAAAAGTAAATTAAAAAGAATTATTTTTGTTGGAGATTCTAACCAATTGCCTCCTATTATAAAAAATAAATACATAAAAAATTTTGCAAATTATGAACAATCATTGTATAAACGATTTTTAAGATTGGAATTACCTTCTATTTATTTAAATGAACAAGGACGTATGAGAAATGAGATTTGTAATATTTATAAATATTTTTATAGTAAATATAATATTCAAATTGCAAATTTAGATTGTGTTTATAAGGACAAATTTTCAAAGAATTTTAACCCAGGATTTACGTATACTTATCAATTTATACATGTCGAATCGGATGAATACACTCCAGTGCCATATTTTTATCAAAATTTGTTAGAAGCAGAAATGGTGGTTGCTATTTTTATGTATATGCGTCTTTTGGGATATGCAAATGAAATAATAACAATTTTGACAACATATAATGGACAAAAAGAACTAATATTAGATATTTTGAAAAAAAATTGTTTATATAACAAGTTAATTGGAATGCCTAAAAAGGTGACAACAGTTGATAAATATCAAGGTAAACAAAATGATTATGTAATAATTTCTTTAGTTCGATCGAAAAGTATTGGATATATGAAAAATATTAAAAGACTTATTGTTGCATTTTCACGTGCAAGGTTCGGATTATATGTAGTTGGGAATTATAATTTATATAAGAAAAATCAGGAATTTAAAAAGCCATTATATTTTTTTAGAAAAAACAAACTAGAATTGTCCTTACAAATGAATGAGCAATTTAGCACCACCCAAAGGGAACACAAAATTCCCCCGATCATTGTAAAAGATTTGAATCACTTTTACACAATTATATATTCTCTGGCGAATGCCCATTTTCAGCGTAATTCCGCATAGGAGATACTGGATAATGAGAATAAGCACGTGCTTTATGCACATGCGTGTAGATGTATATATGTATGTATATATGTATGTATATATGTATGTGTATATGTATGTATATATGTGTGTGTTTCTGATTGTGTGCATGTATATACCTATTTGTGTGTGGAAAAACATGTGTCCACCTATGTTTTTTAACGCCTTTTTTATGCCTCTATAGTAAAAATGTAAATGTTAGAATAAAATGAGCCATTGAGATGTTCAAGCAGAAACGGAATTTAATGTTTCAAAGGTTTTTAAAAGCATTTATCGTAAGCGCGTTTACCCGTTCGTGCAATTACATATTAACACATTTTTGTTTACATTACTTGTAAAATGTGTTTTTTTTTCATTTTGGTCTTTTATTATTATTTTTTTTTTTTTTCCCTTTCTTAAGGGTTTAAGTTTAGGTACAATTTGGTTTATTTGTCCTTGTTCCAATTTTCTGACATTGTTTTTGTCTTATAATATTTTGTGTGACGAATAAATAATTAGTATTTTTAATGTGGTGGGTACAAAGGAAAAAAAGTAAATTTTGTTTAAGCCTGAATATATAAGTTGTTCTTATTTATTTATTTATTTTTTTTTTTTTTTGCTCTAACCCTTTTTCATTTTGTTAGCATAGTAAATGAACTTTTCTTTGATTTTCTATACCCACTAATATATATACATATATATATATATATATATATATGTATTTCTATTTTTATGTTTATTTTAAGGTTTTTTTTTTTTTTAAAAAACTCCAAAAATATCATCTCGTAAGGCAAAAACATTTCAACAAAATTTGGATGTAGTTTATCAAATGTTTGTAACTATGAGATCAATTTTATTTTCACAATGGAAAAAAGAAAAATAAAGTAGCTGTTCAAAAAATGAATATAAAAGTGTTACCTGGTAAAACGTAAGAATATAAGGGCGAAAGAAAAAAAAGTAAAAAATATGTAAAATTAAGCAAAACAAAATAAAAAGAGATAAGGAATGTACGAAAATGTGACATTGAAAATTAGGTAGTATTTTGTACCAAGCTTAACAAGGGGGGAAAAAAAAAAAAAAAAAAAAAAAAAAAAAAAAAAAAAACAAGCTTTTAATTTAACCCTTCCTCTTCAATTTTAAATCTTCCATTTGAAAACATTTAAAAGATGGAAATTACACATGAAGAAGGAAGTGACACAAGTGAAAAGAAAAATAAAATTCCATCTAATTATACAAGTATATCTGAGAAATCTTCCAAGTCAGTTTTTGGTGTAAGAAAAAATGATTGCGGTTATCAAAATATTCGTGATGACCGTGATGATGGTATTATGTATGAAGGTCCCATGGAGGACTCGGTTCATGCTGAAACAAGTGAAGATATAAATTTTTACGATGCGAAAGGCTTAGATGAGGTAAAAGGGCAGACAGAGAAATTCTTTAACCATGAGGAATATGCACAGGATATGTTAAACAATAATAATGAACATAATTTAGTGCATTCCGATGAAATGTACAACTCATACACTGATGAAGAGCTTGAGAAATTTTTTGAGGACACAGAAAATGAAGTGGAAGGAAAGAATAATAACGCTGTGCAGTTAATGATGGAAGATCATTTAGGAGGATTAGCAGATTCTGCTATGCTAAGAGATAATACTACACTTCCAAAAGGTGATGATACCTTTTTGCTAAAAAAAGAAGATAGCAATGTGTTAAAGGAAGATGAATATGAAAATTTTTACAACAATGAGCACTCTCCTCTTGTAGTAAATTGTGAAGAGAGAGGAATGAATCCTTTTGATGATTATAAAGAGAAAGATTTAGAAATGTCTTTTCGGAAAGACGGTGTAAGCATTAAAAGCTATGAAGAATCTTTTGCGTTAGGAAATAAAAAATTAACGTTAAACACAACAAACATTACAGAATTCAGAGATTTGAGTAACGAACCTAATGATGATTTTTCATTTATTAGTAACTCATCAAACAGTATTATTGTCAGATCAGCTGTGCTGGAGGAGGGAAAAAAAAGTGAGACAAATCTGAATGGTAATGTGGAAAATGATGAAATTGACGCAGATTGTGAGGGTGGAAGTGTTACTACTGTGGATGTCAAAAATGAATCTGAGGGAGGAAACAAGGAAATAGTGAAGAAAAAAGAAAAAAGAAAAATTGAAGAAAAAGGTGTAACATACAATGAGGGGGATACATTATTAAGAAATAACAATTTGGAGAGCAATGCATTAGATAGTGTAGAAAATGATATTAGTGAAAATACGTTTGCAAATAATATGAATGAAGAAGAATCCAATATATGTGATAAGAATAGCATAGATGAAGAAAAATTCAATATATGTGATAAGAATAACGTAGATGAAGAAGAATCCAATATATGTGATAAGAATAACGTAGATGAAGAAGAATCCAAATTGGAGAGTGAAAAATCTAAGAAAATGGACATTTTAAACTATTTTGAAAATAATGAACCTCAAGAAGATAATACAAATAATTCCAACTTTTTATTAAAAAAAAAAAAAATACATGAAGATCAAACCAGCTCCTTGTGGTACAAACACAAAAGACACTTTTTCATTTTTACCTATTCGGGGAAACCAGTTTTTACAAGATATGGTAATGAAGAAAATTTAACAAGTTTTTATGGAGCTTTACTTGCAATTATATCAAAAATAGAGTCCTTTTCTTTTTCAGGCAGTAGCACAGATGTAAAAACAAATAAAAAATGTAATGAAACATATACAAAAAACTCGTTAAAATGTATTATGAGTAAGAACACAAAAGTAGTTTATTTAGACAAAGAAGTATTATGTTTAGTATGCATTTCTAAAGTTAATGAGAGCACTAATTACATTTTGCACATTTTAAATTATATGTATTTTCAAATTATATCATTATTAACTAAGAGCATTGATAAATCATTTCAAATAAAACCATCATTCGATATAAGATATTTGTTAGATGGTGCTGATATCCTTATGTGTAATTTAATATCATCTTGTTCTAAAAACATGTATTCCATTTTTGATGGTTTTGAACCTTTACCTTTAAAACAAGATTACCGTAACAAAATAAACAATTTGATTTCGTCCTTCAAAATTAACAATGTTTTGTTGTCCTTCTTAATTATAAATGATAAAATTATTGGAATATCTGTATCCAAATATACCATCAATTCGATGGATATAATAATCCTTATCAATATGATAACATCAATGAAATCCTTTAAGAATGCAGAATCTTGGACTCCCATTTGTTTACCTATTTACAACCCAAAGTATGAAAGAAATTTTTTTTTTTTTTTTTTTTTTTTAATTTTCCACTTTGCATACATAATAGAGAAAACATAAGTATGCAAATGTAAAGAAAAACGTATTCATGTTAACGTGTATACATATTCGTACCTCTACAAGGGTATAGCAAAGATATAAGAAAATGAATAACCTTTTTTTTGAAAAAAAAATTTATTATGAATTTATCATCCATTTTGAATCATTCCCCTCCCCACCCCTCTCACGTTCAGCCTTTTCTTATATGCCTATATTAACTACATTAGGAAAAAAATTTGTTGTGTTTATGTATGCTCACATGCATCGTCCAGAGATTTTTTCCACCTTTCAAGACACACCTCAATGATTGAAACGGTTATACGAAAGATAAAATAGAAAGGATAAATTTTGTGCACGTAGAGTTATATAATGAAAAAAAAGGGGAAGGAAATAATGCGCAAAAATGTATGTAATAAGCACGCGTTGGTGGAAGTGTTTACAGTTTAATAAAATATAGGGTGTCATGTACAAGTGTACATCAGCACACATATATAGACACGTGTATATTCATTCATTCATTTATTTATTATTTTTTTTTTCTGGTTGCAGATATTAATAAGCTCTGGATGCTACGATGAAATTGTAAAAGCTGCGGACAACTCCCCATTCGAACTTCCAGAAATTCCAAGTATTGAGATCATTCACGTGTGTTATTATATTCCATATTTAAAACAGTATTACAGCTCCAAAATTGGGAATGATAAGGTGAAAAGGGTTTTCAGAGTGTACCAAAAGTGTGATGATATATTAAGAGACTCCAAATTGCCTGCACAAATATACCTAGAGACTGAGCACGAAAAATTTTATTGCATTAAAACAAATCTTTATCACTTATATTTATCAGTCCCATTTCATGTTGAAGTTAATGATGATAACATTAATGAAATTTTAAAAGTTATTGCAACATATCATAAAGAAATATTTATCAACAACATAAAACAAATTACTTGACAAGATTTATTTTATTTTACTTTCTTTTTTTTTGAGTGAAATTCAATTTGCATTACTAATAGTATTGCATACTTTTTATATGAAGCCTATTAAAAATTATCCCCAAAATAATAGGTTGAAATATTTTTCTTTCTTGTTATATTTTATGAAGAAATGAGATTAGTATTAATTTATGACGAAGTGAAATTTTCTAACTCTTTTCTACTTTTTTTCTAATTTTTTTTTTTTTTATCTAGTTTGATTTTTTATTGGTTTACCAAGCTGCTTAATTAACCATTTGCATATTGGGGGAGTTTTTCCCATTTGTTGTATTTCTCTTTACCTCATTTGGTATAGTTTTATTTATTTTGTTTTATACAAGTAATCTGAGACAAGAGAAATGCTAGTTTAAAGGTATTTTAACATCATTTTTTTTACCCATTTTGTTTTACAATTATAGTGATTAATGGTGTGAACTGTACTTGAGAATGAAACGCGCCCGAATAAGGATCAGCTAATGAACATTTATTTTATTTTATTTCATTTTTTTTTTTTTTTTTTTTTTTGTTTGTTTGTTTGTTTGTAAAGATTTATAAAAGGAATGCACCATAAGATAGAATGCACGGGAAGCTTATTGTAGTTGACATGACATCCGAAAAAAGACAGAATTAAAATGACATTTTAGAAAAAATTAAATTCATTTTAACGCGTTTTATCCTGAGTTTAACGTACATTTTTTTCTTTTCTTTTTGTTTGGATTTTTTTTTTAACAAATAACAAAACATTCACTACTTTCATTTGCCACTTCTCGCTCCCCTGAGAATTTAACTACAAGTCATTTTTTACCTGGAGAAAACGTATATTTTAACATGCTTCCTAGTAGGTGTAAAACTACCTTTTATTAAATCATAACTTCAAATAGTGTATATGTTCATCTTATGAATTAACATTTACATTATAGATTTTCAAAGGAAAATATATTAGACATAAATAAAATTGGTAGTGCGTTTATTATCATTACTTATGGAACAAAATTTTCAATACGTTTTACAATTGTATTTATGTATATGAGGGAAGTGGCTTTCCCAAAGTGTTGAATATAGTAGTTGAGTTTTTTTTTTTTTTTTTTTTTTTTAAATTGTGGACATTAGAATTTAGAGCTGTGGGGGATATGTAACCCTAGTGAAGTTTTCTGATATATGGCACAGAAAAAGAATGTGTACGAATATATTTTATTTGTATTAATTTTAACCAATGTCACAACTGGAAAGAAATTAATAAATGTTTTAAGATGCTTAACATTCTAGGATTATTCGAATAAATAAAAATAATCCAAAATTAACAAAACATCCATTTTTGGATGGAAGAAATTCCGATTTGACAAAACAAAAAACATGTCTTTATTTTTATAAAGAATAAGTTTTACTATTTAAGAAAAAATTAGGGAATCCATTTAATTTAAGAGGTGGGGCTTTTCATTCACAAAAATGAGGAATTAAAAAATTGCATTTTGCATTGAGTTTTACCTTCAAGATACATACAAACATATATATATATATATATGTGTTCATATATTAAAAGATTTATGATCAATCTTAATACTTATGACTAATGTGCAGGATGTTGTTCTTTCTTGATTTTTTATATAACTTATCTGTATGCGCACAAAGTACATTTTTTGAAATATTAGCTGAGAATAATTTTGCTATCCCTCAGAATATAGTACGAGGTAACTTACTGTACTATTAACTGAATTAAGTTAAAATATGTTTACATTTTTCTAGTTTTTGCAAATTAAAATATACCAAGTTGTAATTAATACATATTTCCTTGTATTATGATTTGTTATATATCAGAGTTAAAATGAATAAGTAGTTTTGACTTGATAATTATAATCACGAAGAAAATATATAAATTATCATTCACTGAAATTGAGAAACTATGATATGCACAAAAAAATTAATGAAAAGGTGAAATTTTATTGGTTACAAAAGGCGTACAAATAAATACATACATATGGCATCATTTTATTGGTATGTTGATGAAAATCAATTCTAAGTCTGTATTACATGTAAATATTTTCACATGGGGAATGTGCATACACTTGATGGATATCTACATATGGTTTAAGCCGATTGAGTGGGTGGGGAGACATTCTCAGTTTTTACAACATGATTGTATACATTCATATGTATATACATATATATATATATATATATGCATTTTCTCTATGGTTACTGGACGAATTCCAGGTGAATACCTTCCTCCCCCACCACATTGTATAAAATTAAGGGTGATGAAGGGGAAAAAAAAAAAAAAAAAAAGTATTTAAGACAAATATTCAAAATGATAATTATTGTTGAGACATATGTAAATATCTACACATATCATAAATAAACTGTTAATGGGACAAAGAAATTTAACAAAATATAGTTTCAACGTGGAAAATTTTAACAAAAAAAAAAAAAAAATTGGTGATTTCAAAAAATGTGCTATGTATAATATCGACAAATGGTCTCATTGACATATGTAGATATGAAATTATTTGGTAGAGAGTAAATAAAAGGATCATTTAAATAGTCATTTAAAAAAAAAAAATGTTCACATGAGATTCTACTGGGAAATTATCTTATTAAGAATATCCCAATTTAATTATCAGAACGTGGTTTAATCAGGAGCAAAAGCTGCTCCATATATTGAAAAAATTTTAAATGTCCCACTTTTTTTTTTTTTTTTTTTTTTTTTCTTTTTCCCCTCTGGAATAGAGAATAGATGTTTTCATTTTAACTGTTAATTATATATTCTTCTGCACTTTCTTGCACATCATCTTCCATATTTATGCTTGATTCGTAAATTTCATTTCTTGTCTTTTTCCATGTTTCCCATGGTTTGGTTTCTAACCAATCTGCTTGTACTCGTTTCATCCATTGAATTAAATAATTCCATTTGTTTTCTTTCCATTTTTCCCACTGGGTCCATTCTGTGCTCATTAATAAAAATTCTTTTTGGTTTACCCAATTTTCCCATTCTTTTTTTTCTGTTGACAACCTTTTTTTCCATTTTTGCCAATTTTCATTGTTTGTTAAATCTTCCTTGTTTTCGTATTTATTCCACATTTCATATTCTTGATTTTTCCAATTTTTATTTTTCCATTTATTCCAGTTTTTATCTTTCCAATCATCCCAGTATTTAAATAGTTTTCTTTCACAAGCTTCTTCACTATTTTTTAGCAAATTTATCCATTTTATTTTCATAGGTCTTTTCCATTCCATTTCTATTATTCCTCTCCAATCTTTTTCACCCCATTCTGTCCATGCATTTACTGCATCATTTATATAATCTCCCTCCAATTTGTTAATAAAAGCAACCCAATTATAATGCATGTTTGTGAGCCAATCTTCCCATTCACCTTCTTTTTTTTGAATCCACTTTTTTTTACGTTGTTCCATCGATTGTGTAAAATGTTCCCATTTTTCTTCCATATTATTCATCCATTTTTTCCACTCATTAGTTTTCCACTCTTCTGTTAATTCGTTATTATTTTCTGTTTTCTCATTTTGTTCCAGTTCGTTTTCATTTGCTTGTGTTTCGTCTTCTATTATGCTTTCTTCATTTTCATTTGGATCTAATGTCTCTTGTGCACATTGGTCTGTTGAATTAGCATCAGCATCTATTTCTTCCTTTATTTTTTTTGCTTCGCATTTTATAGATGCATCTATTTCGTTTATCCACTTTTGTACTTGGTCCATCCTGCTTTTGTATGCATCCTTCTTTGATGCAAAAGATGGTTCTTTTAGAATTGCACTATGGGGATATATATGTATTGAGGAACTATCGCTTCCTTCATCTTGGTCTTCAATTTCTATTTTTATTTCATCTACTTCATATTCACCAGCACATTTTTTTACGCGCCCTTCAATTAATTTTAATCCTTCTTGAAATAATTCGAGGCCTTCCTCAAGTTCTGTCATTTTGTCCTCAGGTATTTCTACTTCCTGGTGATATGATCCTATATTGTCTGTCGGTATCTTCCCTGTGCCATCATCATATTTTTGCATCAGTTCTTCAATTATATTTAAACCCTTTTTAATTTTTTGGACTCCATTTTCCATTATTTCTTTTTCTTCTGTTTCACTTAATGTTATTTCTTTTTCTTGCTCTGATTCAGATATTTGTTGTGTTGTTTGTTTTGCTCGTTCTATTATATCATCACTTTTAGTTCTTCCTACTGCTATATCTACTTTTCTTCTTTCTTCAATCACTCTTCTTTCTATATCTTTAAACCATTGCTGTAATCTTTGCACTTTGTTATTATGTTTTTCTACCTCTCTTAGATGGTTCTGAATCTTATCTTCTACACTTGTCTCATCACCTAGAACTCCAAATGCATCGAAGAATATTTCATTGCTTTCTCGTTTCTGAAGGAACTACATTACGGAGTTAAGATAAAGGGATTAAAATGTGGGTATGTGCATATGGAAAGTGCATGCATGTGTATGTGAAAAGTATATGTGCATGAAAATCTGTATATATGTATGTACATATGTGTGATATAGGTTTTAATTCCAATCCTTAAAGAAGACGAACTAGATAAACACCATACAATCAACTTATGCATATGTACTTCATAACGTATTGACATCAATGTCCATAATTTGAAGTGTATCTTACCTTCATTTTTTTAACGTCTTTATATAGCTTGTAGAGAGTGAAAAATGCTGTTATTAGTATAACATCTGCAACAGTCGATGCGCTAAGTTTTTGTACGAGTCTTTTTCCAATATTAATACCTTCATTTAATACAGGAGCAGCTAAGTTCAGCGGGGATAATCTACCGCTCTGCATAGCATTTCCTTCCATGGTGTTTTGTATATTTTTTTAAAAATATTTGTTTTACTGGTGAATAACTTTAGTCCTATATTTCTTGATGCAGTTTATACGAGAGTAAATGAATTTTATAAAAAAAAATATATACATATATATATGTATATATATAAATCTAGATATTATTAAAAAAACAGAACGGAGAGAAAAAAAAAAAAAATAACACGAACACGACACTATATTAGAACTAAAAAAAAAAAAGGGATAAGAAAGGAATAAGATCACGAAAAAGAACAAAACGACTAATAAATATTCACATTATTGCACCAGAAATATAGTCAAAATTCACATTCACTATAATGAAATGAATAAAAAAAAAAATATATGTATATATAATGCATAAATTTATAAAACAAAACGTTTTTTATTTAAATGTAACTTTAAAAGCGTAAACGTCTCTGTTTAAGAGTCACTTTTAATTTTTAATCGCATGCTGGTAGTTGCAATAACTTGATTTAAAAAATTGAACAAAATTTTCAATATATTTTATTTTATTTATTTTTTTTTCTCTTTTGCAAATATGTTCGGAATATGAATTCTATAGTATATAATTTCATTTTATATACTCGTTTATTCATTATTTTATTTCTACTTTAGTTTTCTTAAGAAATGTAGAAAAAAATTGGATGCTCAGTTACAACCAATAAAAAAGGGATGAAATAATCGAAATTCATTCTGTACATATAAGCTCATTAAACCATAGTACATATATATATATACATGCATACATATTCTTGAATTAGCATTAATAGTGACTATTTATAAATGCAATGAAGAGCTTATGGAATTATTTACCCTTTTGTTTTTTTGGTCTTATTATGATGCTTTTTTTTTTTTTTTTTTTTTTTTTTTGGTGGCGAATACAAAATATTAACCTAATAATTTTACTAATCCAGGAATGATAAATAAATTGTAAAATATTTTAATCATTAAAAAGGACATGTATATATATGAAAATGGAAAGAGAAAATTCAATGATAGAACATTTATAAACGTTTATCAAAACTTCTTTACATGTGAAGTAGAAAAAATCTACTTATTTAGATTTGAATTATTCTTCTATTTATTTATTTTTTTTTTTTTTTGTTTTATAAATTATTGAATAAATTCCCAAATAAGGCTGAAATATTTCACTCTGTCCTTATAATTAA